CTCGGGCCTTCCCTCCCTCAAACCCCGGGGTCCCCCACCCGTGCAAACTGAAAGTGTTGTGCCCTCCACCCCCAAAACCCCCCCAGCAAGATGGGATTGCTGGGAGTTAAAGTCCACACATCTTCAAGTTGCCAAGGTTGAGGAACCCTGCTCTACAGAATGAAAGGCCTCAAGAATGTCTGTGACAGGCAAAGGGCCACTGGTGCTCAAATGGTTATACTCCTTCCTAGGTGTCACACCTACCTACTTCCAAAATCAGATCTAGATTTAACATACATCCACCTGTGTATTTCAAACATATTGTTTAACCAACCCATTTGCTACAAAAGTCAAACCAAACGCAATATTCGTCATACATACATAATCTTTAGGCCCTGCTGATTTCATTTTGATGCTTTTATATGGAAGAAGAGCAGTATAAAAGCCACAACAACGACAATGACAACGGAATGTACCTTTAATCCAGGCAATCAGATTTCACAATCCCACCATTCATTCAGGAGGTCAAGGTGATATACACAATGTGTGTTTCTCCTATATTTTCTCCACCACAAGCTTATGAGGTAGGTTGGGCTGAGAGGGAGTCTGACCCAAAGTGACCCAAGGAGTGTCTACGGCTGAGGGGGGACTAGAACCTGGGTCTCCCTGCTCCCCGTCCAACCCCTGCGCCACCACACCACCTTGGCTCTTCATACCATGGAGACCAGTTATGCTGACTAGTGGAAGTTCTACAATCAGCAGCATCCTACGAATTCCTCAATAAATTCTCAGAAAGTTTAATGTATGGTGATACACATATTTTCATGTAAACAGATGTTTCTGCTGATTGGGACCCACAAATGCTGCTTGGTGAATATTTTCTCCAGAACCACCCTCCAAACCTGGGAAGGTATTGATTTGAAAGCAGCAAGAGTTTTATCATTCTAATACATTCATCACAGAAAAAGGAAGGAAAAAACATTACAGCCAGAGATGACGGACCACCCCCCATAGCTTCTGAACCAGAATGCCCGCCTGCAGTTACAGCCTGAGATGCTGTGGGTTTGCGTCCAAATCTGGCCATGGGCAGGGCAACACTCACTGTTGTGCTGTCGAAGTAAACCAGGAAAGCCTGGACAGACTCAGCAATCTCCGCCGTCACCTGAAACACGTTTGCCACAACACAGAGATGGATGGCAGCTGAGTAGTACTTGTTGTCTATCGTCCAGGGGTAAAACCGGGCTCCGCTCTCTGCAGCAATGTGCCCAGGAAGCTCTTCTTCTCCGGTGATACCTGCAAGAGACAATGAAGACACCTGGAAGAAGAACAGAAGGCAGGCCGGCCTAGGAGGGATCTGTCTCTCGCATATCCTTTCTCAAGCCGAAGAGGTTCAACTCAGGGCTGTCAGTGGCCTATCCAAAGGCAGGTCCTACTGCTTTGCTGCTCAAGTGCCGGTTATTAATTTCTCTTTCTGCTCTGCTGCAAGGATGCTTGGCCTCTCCGCCAAGGGATTCAAAGCAGCCAGATGCTGCTCCTCTCCTTTTATCCTCACAACAGCCTGCGGGGTAGGTAAAGCTGAGAGGGTAGGCTCTGCCCAGGGTCCCCTAAGGCAGGGTTCCTCAAGCTTGGCAACTTTTAAGACAGGTGGACTTCAACTCCCAGAATTCCCCAGCCAGCCTTGCATTGAGTTGAAGTCCACCCGTCTTAAAGTTGCCAAGCTTGAGGAACCCTGCCCTAAGGAGCTTCACAGCTGAAGGATGCCATGCCAGCTGGGCCCTCTTTCAAACAAGAGGACAGACTACAGTGCACCCACAGAGCAAACAGACATAGCATTGCTTTGTCAACGTTCCTCTCATTTGCACATTAAAACTGGAAACCCCAATGACTAACCCCAGCTCCCTGTGATGAGGTTCAGAAGGCACCCTAAGGAAGTCACAGTGTGAAAGCTGGGTTTATACAACACACTGATCCAGGCTATGCCCAACAAATAAACCAAATGATGGCTTAACACAATAACCTGGTTTATACAACTTGCTACAATAATAGTTGGGTTCTCGCAGCGTGTGGAACCACAAATCACCCAACTCCATTTTAGTCTAGTCCAGCACGTCGTCTTACTGGTTGCTATCTATCTAGTCTCAGGCTGGGGGACAATCAAGAGACAATCAAGGCCCTGGAGAAGAACAGACCTGGCAGACGTGCGGGAGAAGGCCGTTACCAAGGAGTACCAACGTCTCCTTGTTGCTAAGGCAGAAACGACATGAAGGGAATGCAGAGAGTTGTCTTCATGGCCTTAGTGCAGGCGTGGGCTGCCTTTGTGGCTCCAGAGCCTTGTACCTTTGCACTGTGATATTCCTCTTAAAAAAAAAAGTAGTAAAGCAGATGGGCCATGCTTTCAATGGGGTTACTGCTCTTGATTAATCTTTAAAAGTATGGTAAAAATTCTGGCCTCTGGAGACACCAGACCTTCCTCCCGAAGGGGAAGGGGAAGGGGAAGGGGAAGGGGAGGGGAAGGGAAGGGAAGGGAGATTCACAGCTTAAAAAAAAATAAAAGTCCTCTCCTGCTTTCAGGTTGATCAGTGAAACACTTTGTGGGCTGGGCAGAATTATGGCTCATCACCACCTACGCCCTCCCTTTTACAATGAGCTGTTCACAAAATTAACTTTGAACCACTTTTACCAGTTAGCCATCAGAAGGGTTGACCCAGCTGGCTAAGCAGTTAGTATAAATAGGCTTCCCCTTGCAACCCACACAAGTGTGTAAAAAACACCCGTTTGTTGTCCAGAATCTTGGAACCGTTTTGTTCAGATGGCTGGCTTAGGAAATTCCCCTCAGAAGCATGGCACATTTTAACACAACTATCACACAGCACTCACACTATAATGACACCTTTCTATATCTAGCTACAGAGAACGTACCCATTTTCGGATAAGCTTTCAAGTCCATGCTTATGTTCTGGCCCCCAAAAAGTCCTTCCAAAAACCCGCGATAATGACAAAAATAGTGGGTTTGGAAACAACCGTGTCGTGGGAGAACTGCTCACTTCAATTTTTGATATTTCCAACCTCTGGGAGGGCCTGTGGTTTTTCATCCAAAATGTTCTGAGAGAGAGAAAAAAATCAGCTGACGCATTTGGCAACCGCAACCTTTCGGCACGCCTCACTTTCCATGGCTTGTGTTTTCATAGAGCGTACGCCAGCTCTTTGACATGATCCTGTGCCGTCCCAGCAGCAAAACAGCTGGCTCCATATCTGCGTGCCACCCCACATGATCAGAGGTAGATGAAGAGAACACAATCGGAATGCACACACGTGTCAGATGAAAAAGGTAACAGCTGCTTCACCACAACACAACTTCCTCAGAAGTCAAGTTAGAGAGGGTATCTCTGCCAGTGGCACCTCTGGATTGTGCAACAGTTGATTGCATACAGTCCTGCTCCATCTCCTTCATCAACAAAAGAGTGCCAAGGATCAATTCTCCGTCACTCACACATCCTTACCTGGCTTTTCAGCGTGATCCGACTGACATCTCCCTGGTTAGTGTTAGTGGCTGTGACTTCATTCACTTTTGCTGTATATGTATGCAATATCTATCCACCTCATCAGCAGAGGGAGGCAGGTCTAGAGCATCCAAGACCGGCAGCTGAGAAATCTGCTGTAAGACATCAGGATCAACTGTGGACGGCCTATTGAGTAAAACGTTCAGCCCAGCGGTCTTTCAGTCCTTCCTGGCCTTTGATCAGGCTTGACCCATCAGATGACAGCAAGGGGGAGCATCCTGATTTAGCAGGGCCATAAACTGACTTTATGGCACTGAAGAACTCTCTGGTGGTTTGCGTGCTTGCATAGCATTCCACCTGTTCGGCCTTTCTCTGCCACCACTCATCTTGAATATCTTGCAGTTCCGCCTGTACTTTGGAGTGCAGGTGTTTAAACTTCTTTCTTTGAGACAGACGATGGATCATTCTGCCAGACTCCATAGGCCTTGCTCTTGGCCTGGAGGGCTACAGAAATGGTCTCGTGGTTTTCATCAAACCAGTCTTGATGCGCCCAGGTTTTCAGTCTGAGTACAGTTGTTGCACTCTACGTGACGACATCTTTAAACTGCGTCCACTTTTCAGAACAGGTTCCAACAAGCTGTAAATTACCAGAGTTTTTCATTAAGTACATCTTGAAAATGTTGGACTCGTCCCGAGTCTTGCTGTCTGCTGATGCTGAATGACATTCTGACAGTCCTTGGTTGCTGACGATGTAAAGGGGCTACTGTGCAGGTTGAGGACCAACTGGACCAGCGGTGATCTGTCCAGCACTCAGCACCTCGCATGGCCCAGGTGATGGTGATGTCTTTAAGGTCGCGCTGACATACTATGACATAGTCAAGTAGGTGCCAGTGTTTGGACCTGGGATGCATCCAGGTTGTTTTGTACTTATTTGCAAGTCTGAACATCGTGTTAGTGATGTACAGGTTGTGCTCAGCACATTTGCTCAGAAGCAGCAGGCCATTGCTATTTAGTTTTCCCACCCCATGTCTCCTGAGGACTCTGTCCCACTTGTCGCTGTTTGTCCCCACCCTAGTGGTGAAGTCCCCAGAATGACAAGTCTATTGCTGGCGGAGGTTGTTTGAATAATTTGGCCCAGGTCCTCGTAGAAACCTTCCTTGTCTTCATCGGGACTCATGAGAGTTGGTGCATAGAGGCTGACAATGGTGATGTACCAGGACTTGCTGAGAGGAAAGCGGAACATTATAATTCGTTCATTTATTCTGGTGGGTAGAGATATTCTTCAGCAGAGCAGTTGTGATTGCAAAACCAGCTCTATGAGTCCTGTTGTCAGTCTGTGGTTTCCCTTTCCAAAAGAACATATATCCACTTGCTGCTTCCTGTAATGAACCCTCGTCTGCCAGCCTGGTCTGAGTGCAGTGATGTCAATGCAATAACAGCCGAGCTTGGCTGCTGCGAGCACCGTTTGTCTTTCAGGCCTTGACACCTTGTCTCTATCCAGCAAGGTGAGGACATTCCAGGCTCCGAAGATGAGTTTTCTTTGAACTGTTTTTCTTGGTACTCAACTGATAAGGAGATGATCTACCAGCCATGGTTAGCTAGCCAGATGTTGTGGGGCAGGCAATGTTTAGGGTACCTTTTCTAACCTACTCCCTCATGCGAGGGTGGGCAGCGCTATCCTAAAAAGGGCTGCCCGGTCGCCCTGGATGCTGCTGGACATCTCTGCTGCCCCAGGTACTAGGATGAACGACCGCTGGTCCAAAGACTGTCTGCAGGCAGGTTTGTGACTGCAACGGCCAGTGGTCATCTCCACCTGTTGTTTCGCCACTCCCCCATCACTGCAGGGATCAACGAATTAGATTTGGGCTGAGATTAACTGCAGATGAGATGTAGATGAAGGTGAAGATGAATTGCACAACAGAAACCTGTGCATGACAGAGTTTAAGTGGAGCAGCTGTTGCACAGGGGCAGTCCCACCCTCTTGGCAGAAGAGACTTTAATCCAGTAGCACATACAGCTGTTACGGCTGGAGACTTCGCCTGCTGCAGTGGATGACCAGGACGTCTAAATGTCTTGTCACACTCTTAGTGCTCCACAATGCCTGCTGGGCCTGCCTTCTTGACCGCTGGACCACTGATCAGCCTCCTCCGCTCAATCTGCCAGGGCCAGACTTCACACTGAGGTAGACAAATCCCCTGTCTCACCAAGGGTCAAGACCCGTCAGCTACCCTCAACTGGATTGGCCTGTCTGCTGAGATGGTTTACCAGGGTGTGGCCACTGCCCATGTTATAGCTACTTGGAGCCACAGGTGAGAGCTGAACGCCAGGTGGGGACCAAAGGTGAATGGGCAACCCGAAAAAGGCACAGCAGGCCCCTCCACCAGAGGTGCTACCCCTCTCTGGGCACCCCATACACCCCCTACCTATATATATATATATATATATATATATAT